ACATGTCATACATGTCGGGCTTAAGCAAGTAGATGACAGAACGTGGTCTCTGGGGAATGTGGCAGAGGGACGAATCTTATTGAGAGCTACAAGGGATAGGAGGAAGTGGAGAGCCATGATCGCCTACGTCCTGAAGAGACACGACACATGGAGGTCAAATATAGGAAAAGAGACAAGGGAAAGCAACACATGTCATACATGTCGGGCTTAAGCAAGTAGATGACAGAACGTGGTCTCTGGGGAATGTGGCAGAGGGACGAATCTTATTGAGAGCTACAAGGGATAGGAGGAAGTGGAGAGCCATGATCGCCTACGTCCTGAAGAGACATGACACATGAAGGTGAAATAAGGGAAAAGAGAGACAAGGAAAGCAACACATGTCATACATGTCGGGCTTGAGCAAGTAGATGACAGAACGTGGTCTCTGGGGAATGTGGCAGAGGGACGAATCTTATTGAGAGCTACAAGGGATAGGAGGAAGTGGAGAGCCATGATCGCCTACGTCCTGAAGAGACACGACACATGAAGGTCAAATATAGGGAAAGAGAGACAAGGGAAAGCAACACATGTCATACATGTCGGGCTTAAGCAAGTAGATGACAGAACGTGGTCTCTGGGGAATGTGGCAGAGGGACGAATCTTATTGAGAGCTACAATGGATAGGAGGAAGTGGAGAGCCATGATCGCCTACGTCCTGAAGAGACACGACACATGAAGGTCAAATATAGGAAAGAGAGACAAGGGAAAGCAACACATGTCATACATGTCGGGCTTAAGCAAGTAGATGACAGAACGTGGTCTCTGGGGAATGTGTCAGAGGGACGAATCTTATTGAGAGCTACAAGGGATAGGAGGAAGTGGAGAGCCATGATCGCCTACGTCCTGAAGAGACACGACACATGAAGGTGAAATAGAGGGAAAGAGAGACAAGGGAAAGCAACACATGTCATACATGTCGGGCTTAAGCAAGTAGATGACAGAACGTGGTCTCTGGGGAATGTGGCAGAGGGACGAATCTTATTGAGAGCTACAAGGGATAGGACGAAGTGGAGAGCCATGATCGCCTACGTCCTGAAGAGACACGACACATGAAGGTCAAATATAGGGAAAGAGAGACAAGGGAAAGCAACACATGTCATACATGTCGGGCTTAAGCAAGTAGATGACAGAACGTGGTCTCTGGGGAATGTGGCAGAGGGACGAATCTTATTGAGAGCTACAAGGGATAGGAGGAAGTGGAGAGCCATGATCGCCTACGTCCTGAAGAGACACGACACATGGAGGTCAAATATAGGGAAAGAGAGACAAGGGAAAGCAACACATGTCATACATGTCGGGCTTAAGCAAGTAGATGACAGAACGTGGTCTGGGGGGGAATGTGGCAGAGGGACGAATCTTATTGAGAGCTACAATGGATAGGAGGAAGTGGAGAGCCATGATCGCCTACGTCCTGAAGAGACACGACACATGAAGGTGAAATAGAGGAAAAGAGAGACAAGGGAAAGCAACACATGTCATACATGTCGGGCAAACAAGTAGATGACAGAACGTGGTCTCTGGGGAATGTGGCAGAGGGACGAATCTTATTGAGAGCTACAAGTGATAGGAGGAAGTGGAGAGCCATGATCGCCTACGTCCTGAAGAGACATGACACATGAAGGTGAAATAAAGGGAAAGAGAGACAAGGGAAAGCAACACATGTCATACATGTCGGGCTTAAGCAAGTAGATGACAGAACGTGGTCTCTGGGGAATGTGGCAGAGGGACGAATCTTATTGAGAGCTACAAGGGATAGGAGGAAGTGGAGAGCCATGATCGCCTACGTCCTGAAGAGACATGACACATGAAGGTGAAATAGAGGGAAAGAGAGACAAGGGAAAGCAACACATGACATACCTGGCGGGCTTAAGCAAGTGGATGACAAAACGTGGTCTGGAGAGTGTTGGCAGAGGCACGAATCTTATTGAGAGCTATAAGCGATAGGTGGAAGTGGAGAGCCATGATCGCTTACGTCCTGAAGAGACACGACATATAATAAAGGTGAAAGAGAGGGAAAGAGAGACAAGGGAAAGCAATGCATGATATACCTGGCGGGCTTAAGCAAGTGGATGAAAGAACGTGGTCTAAGAGAGTTGACAGAGAGACGAAACTTGAGAGCTACAAGGGATAGGGGCAAGTGGAGAGCCATGATCGCCTACGTCCTGAAGGGTCACGGTACATAAAAAGAAAAGATGTAATATACTTTTTGACGTCTGTTTCTACTTGATAAAATATATATATACGGACTCCGTCAAAGTATTTTCCACCTAAAAAAAAAACAACTTATGTTCCTTTTTATTTAGGGTTGCATTTATGAAATTAATATTAATATGTCTTCTTTCTCTGTATTTCAAATGAGTTTAAATAATCGTCTCGACGTAGGTCCCTGATCGCGTTCACAGATGCGGGCTTTTAAAATTCGTGACGTCTCTCAAATATAAACACTTCATCTGATAAAAGTAGACACTGCCGATAGTATTTCTAACATCAACTATACAAAATTCATAATCCTACCATCTAACACTCTATCTACAAAATTTGGAAAGGAATTACTTATCTTTAATACTAGGATCTTTACCACAATTTCCAAGACAATCTGAGATATAATTATAAACAAAAATAGGTCAACACATGATCAGCTGTCGATATACATTGATATTATTCGATTTATTTATTAATCTACATTCTTTTATTTACACTATTTAAATTGTTCGGTCTGTTGTCCTCATCTTCTTTGCCATATTCACGACGTTTCAACCGTTACACTCTCCGGTTTTCTTCAGGATGTGTCTTTATTTCTGAGATGAGGTATGGTAATTATTTACATTGTTCTAGCTGTTGCCCTAATCTTTGTTACCACATTCACAGCATTTCGCCCGTTGTACGCTCCGGCCTTCTTCAGGTGATTAGAATTTCGAAATGAACTCTTTATGTCGTCCACCTGGATAGATTGTTCTAGTTGCAAGTTCCATGCCTCTTCAGCTGTCTCCCTTTAACTCAACTCTCTAAGTTTTTTGTTCATCCCAGCTGCAGCCAGGTAGTGAACTCACAACTCTTTGGGTCAAGTCACTGGATTCAACCAACGCTTTTATCCACTGGGCAATGTCCTCAAAACAATTTACCCCAGTGGACGAAATAAAGGATTCAGTTCAAAATTTCAATTACCTGAAGAAGGTCGGAGCCTCCGACGGTCGAAACATCATGAATATGGCTACGTAGAGGAGGACAACAGTACAACCAATGTAAATAGTGTAAATAATTACATTACTATTAGAAATATAGACATCTACTTATTATTTACATCGTTGATTGTTATGGATGTAATAGATTCGGCGTTTCGATCAAGTACCCTCTGTCCATCTTCAGGGGTTCATTATTTTGTTCGACAGTTGACATCTTGAATGAGGTGTTTATTGTGCTATTTTTCACTCTGTTGTAAATGAATAAACGGAGAAAAAAGGACAATTTCTGGGTTATTTAAAGCCGGAAAATACCGTAATTCCCCATGTATAATATGCTTCTTTTTTTTTTTTCGAAAAACTAGTAAACAAAATCAGGAATGTGTATTATGCATAGCCATAAAATAAATTTCATAGGTCGCTTTTAGTTGCGAAATGACTACTCACGACAAACATACGACAATTTGACACTAACATTCGGCGATTGTGACCCCATAAGGATGTCAAATACAATCATGTGAACCTAACAATAATAACAACTGTAAAATTAAACAAAAATTATCATAAAATTAAATTAGAATAATATTATTCTATGTTTAAAACCATTTTTTTTAAATAACAGTAGGAAACGCTAGCCGTAATGTATTTGGAGAAGTACAATTTATAGGGTTTGATTACCAAACAAGTGGTGCGTATTTACGTGAGTAGAAGCATCTTCCCACAATTTCAGCCCGATTTTAGGTGTGCGCATTATGGATGAGGGCGCATTATACATGAGGAGTTATGGAGAGTTTTATATTGCAAGAAATTGTGGTAATAATGATTTGCGGATACAATCCTCCTAAATAACCCATAGCTGGCAGGAAAAGAGGTAGATTCCTACCTTTCACTATAAGGGTATTTGTGCGTAATAACAAGGGTATTTGGGTGTATAAGGGTATTTGTGTGTAATAACAAACCCGAACCCAATTGGAATTCGACTCTCAGCTTTTTAATTTCGAGTGGTTGTCCATCGTACGAAAACCGGTCTTTCAACGTGATATAGCCGTCAGCCATACCACGCGAACATTCAAGCTTACAGTACCTGCTATTCCCATGCAGTATCCCATTTAGGTACTGGCCAGGTTCGACATTGCTTAACTTCTGTGATCGTACGTCATCGCTGTTTCAGCGTGATATAGCCGTAAACCATGCCACGCTCACATTCAACCTTACAGCTTCATCAATTCCTCAGCAGTATCTCATATGGGTACTCACAAGGATCGGCATTGCTTAACTTCGGGGATCCTAAGACACCGGTGATTCATCGTTTTATTGCCTTTAAACATACCACAGGGACATCCAAGCTGACAGCGCCTGGTATTTCTCAGCAGTATCCCATCTAGCAATTGACCAGGTTCGATGTTGCTTAACTTTGTTGATTGTGCGGTGTTTCAACGGGATATGACCGTAAGCTGAAAGAACGAAAGAAATTATCAAAATGTTGTATGAATCCGCTGTGATAAAATGTCTAAACCATCTGTTACTGCATTTGAAAGTACACCATTCCCCTCTGTCGAGACTTTTGTGCTGTGTGGCATAGACGCAGTTAAATTAAGACTAGCATTTCTCTGGAAGGCATGAGTTCTATCCCTGGTTCAGATAGTGAAAATCCCTATATTTTGATTCAAAAGAAAAGAAAAAATATGTTACAAGTGAATAGCTCATACTATACATTAATGAAAAATAACAGACACCTAATGATTGTCTTAGAGCCGTGGTTCCCAAACGATGCAACGCACCTCATAGGTGCGGCAGAAGAGGATAGCTGATTGGGGCGGAAGAGGATAGCAGGTGAGTCGGAAGAGGATAGCAAATGAGGTGGAGGAGGATAGAAGATGAGGCGGAAGAGGATAGCAGGTGAGGCGGAAGATGATAGCAGGTGAGAGGGAAGAGAATAGCAGGTGAGGCGGAGGAAGAGGATGAGCAGAGTTGGAAGAGTTGGAAGAGGTTAGCAAGGTGAGCGGAGAAGAGGATGAGCAGGTAGAGGCGGAAGAGGATAGCAGGTGAGGCGGAAGAGAATAGCAGGTGAGTTGGAAGAGGAGGATAGGCGGAAGAGTATAGAGGTAGAAGAGGATAGCAGGTGAGGGAGAAGAGGATAGCAGGTGAGGCGGAAGAGGATAGCTGGTGAGGCGGAAGAAGAATAGCAGGTGAGTTGGAAGAGGAGGATAGCAGATTGAGGCGGGGGGCAGAAGAGGATAGCAGGTGAGGATAGCGGAAGAGATATAGCAGGTGAGGCGGAAGAGAATGAGCAGGTGAGTTGGAAGAGGATAGCAGGTGAGGAGGAGGTGAAGAGGATAGCAGGTGAGGCAGAAGGTGAGTTATAGCAGGTGAGGCGGAAAGAGAATAGCAGGTGAGGTGGAAGAGAAAGGACAGCAAATGAGGTGGAGGAGGATGAAGATGAGGCGGCAGGTGAGGTGGAGGAGGATATAGCAGGTGAGGCGAAGAGAAGAGGATAGCAGGATGAGGTAGAAGAGGATAGTTGGAGGTGAAGCGGAACAGGATAGCAGGTGAGGTGGAGATTGGAAGAAGAATAGCAGGTGAGGTGGCGGAGGATAGCAGATGAAGCGGAAGAGGATAGCAGGAGAAATGGAAGATGATAATGGGAGGATAGCAAGTGAGGCGGAAGGAATAGCGGAAGAGGATAGCAGATTGGCGCGGAAGAGGATAGCAGATGAGGCGGAAGATGATAGCAAGTGATGTAGAAGAGGATAGCAGGTAAGTTGGAAGAGGAGAGGATAGCAAGTTCTATCAGGTGAGGGAAGAGGATATGATTGGGAGGAAGAGGGATGCAGATTGAGGCGGAAGAGTAGAAAAGAGTGATTCTTCTCTTTAGTTGGAAGAGAAAAGCAGGTAAGACTGAAGAAGATAGCAGGTGAGGCGGAAGAGTATTGACGATGAAGCGAAAGAGGATAGCAGGAGAGGCGAAAGGGGATAACAGGCGAGGCGGGATGATTAAAAGACAATCAAATATTTAGAAAGACCTTCATATGTGAAAAATGAATTTGATTACAAAATTTTAAATATTAACATGAATTACTTGTAATTGGATTCATGACTTCCAGTATAAAAAGAAATTAAATTTGTGATATTTTTGTATTATATCATGTCTTAAGAACATAGTAACTAATTGGAGGAGAGAGTTATCAATAATAACGTTGGTTTCGAATCCGCGCTTATCTCCCTTTAACATTATCTTCTCACATAAAATTTGGTGAGTCATAAGCAAACTTTTAGTCCAAAAAGGCGGCCCAGAGACAAAAAGTTGGGGAACGACTGTCTTAGAGGATACTTGACCGAAACGAATATAAAATTATCATAATGACACCTGTATTTAATTTCTGTCCGAATTTACGGGATGAAGAGTTATTATTTATAATGTAGAAGAGGATAGCAGGTGAGGCAGAAGAGAATAGCAGGTGAGGCGGAAGAGGATAGCAAGTGAGGTAGAAGAGGATAGCAGGTGAGGCGGAACAGGATAGCAAGTGAGGTGGAAAAGAATAGCAGGTGAGTTGGAAGACGATAGCAAGTGAGGTAGAAGAGGATAGCAGGTGAGGCGGAAGAGTTATTATTTATAATGTTTACATGTGAACTATTATCCTCATCTTTGTTACTGTTAACAAGTTTCACCCGTTCTGCTCTCCAGACTTCATAAAGTGTCTGTTGACCCTGGTAACCTACAGGGAATTCTGAGCTGAACCGTTTATTTAATCTATGGCCGTAGATTGTTCTTGTAGCACTGATCATGTCCAGAGTTAGGTCGTCTTATTTTTAATACTGCCCATTTATTGTTCGTTTCAACTAATTCAAAGTATACACAGGCCAGGTAATGAACTCACAGTTACTAGATTGAATACAGAGAAATTGTGAGTTCAATCGCTGGGAAGTGTATATTTGGAATCAGTAGAACACAGCGAGTTACAAGCGAGCAGTACTAAAGATAAAACTAAACTGGATATCAGTAGACATAGCGCCTTCTTGGTCTCGCGTTTTTCTATTGACATAAAATGGAGTGATTATATTGAATCAACTGGCAGGTCTGCTGCTAAAAAGATCGGTTCACTCTATCTTGCCAGACAACTCTTCTCGTCATCTTGAAGATTTATAAAGCTACAATTCGTCCGTGCATTGAACATGGCTCGCTTACCCCATGTTAAATCTGCCATATTTGATCACGTGCTCCGGTTATCTGGCGGAGCATTCACGACAAACTCCAAAAAAGCTTTTGTCATATAACTGGTCCTGACCTGGCAATTTGACTTCAGTCCCTTTCCTACCATCGTGACATGGCTTATTTCTGGCTTTTCTATAAGGTCATCCCATAAGTTCTGTCCAAATTTTAACTTTTTGTTATAATGAACGAAATTTAAACAGTTTTTTATAATGTCTAATGGAGTTGAACATTATTTTTATGTTTAGATGCATTTAAACTGATCAAATTTTATTTCAGAGAACAATAAAATTAAATTTTGTTTGATTAAAACCCTGCTATCATGGAAGTACCCGAGAATCATTTGAGGCACATAATGCTTTATGAGTTCAAGAAAGGAAACTCAGCAGCCGAAGCGGCTAGAAACATTCACTCAGTTTATGGAGAAAAATGTGTGAATGAAAGAACTTGCAGAAGATGGTTTGCAAAATTCAGAGGTGGAGATTTCACCCTTGAAGATGAGTCCAGTTGAGTTTGATGAAAAGCTTCTTGAAGCAGCCATTGAAGAAAATCCTGCTTTATCAATTGAGGAATTGGCAGTGGTTCTCAGTTCAAACCATACAACTGTTCATCGTCATCTTCAGCAACTTGGAAAAGTTCCTAAACTTGGAAAATGTGTGCCTCATGAATTGTCTGAAAACAACCTCAAATCCCGAGTTGACATCTGTTCTTCTCTCCATTCTCGCCAACTTGTTTCATATTTTTTGGATAGACTTGTGACTGGCGACAAAAAATGAATCGTTTATCAAAATGTTAAGCGTCGTAGACAGTGGCTTGGTAAAGGGGAAGGACCCCAGCCACGGCCGAGAAGGGAACTTCATGGGCAAAAGGTTTTTCTTTCAATCTGGTGGGATCGCCAAGGAATAATCCACTTTGAATTCTTACCACCTAATGCAACAACTAATGCTCAAATATACTGTCAGCAATTAGAGCGTTTGAACCAAGCTTTGAGGAAAAAAAGACCTGTCTAGTGAATCGAAAAGGGGTGATGTTTCATCGGGACAATGCACTACCCCACACAGCAAGAATCACGTCACAATAGATCGAAGAACTTGGTTGGGAGAAAATTCCTCATCCACCTTATTCTCCCGATCTTGCTCCTTCAGACTATCATTTGTTTCGTAGCTTACAGAATCATTTGGAAGAAACAGCTTTTGTAACACAGGAAGAGGTTAAAACTGACATTTGTGAGTTCTTCGAATCAAAGCCAAAAGAATTTTACAGTAATGGAATTAGTAAGCTTGTTAATAGATGCAAGGAATTTATAGATAATCAGGGAAAATACATTGTTGATTGAATCTGTAATTAAATGTAACATTTGGTCACTTGTTTTCTTTATTCAAAATTCGGACAGAACTTATGGAATGACCTGATGTAGACATTTCCATGACAGTTATTCTAAGACGCTTTCATCCTTGGTACCTCGATTTAAGCGTACTACTAGAGTGGTTACGACTTCTCATCGCTTTACTACTGAAATACCTACACGTAATCTTAAGTTTTATTCTAATAGTTTGTCTTCTGTAGATCTCGCTTACGATTTCTTGCTTACCTGCAATCTTCTAAAATCTAAATGCGACGTCAATCGCCATTTTCTGTCTTCCTCATACCTGTTATTTTATTGTTCTTTCTCCTCGTTAATATCTTCTTATTATCTCCAACTCTCTGTAACCACCCCTCGTGTCTTAGTGGCATCATAGCCTGGATTGGTGTGAAATAATTTGAAAAAATAACACTATATAATGGAATGTCCCACACTCCCTATTGCCTATGTGGACTGACTATATCAGTAGATATATATAGTGAGCGCAGGATATATCTGGCGACTTGCTTTGGGACTTGTGAACTTGCTTCGGCAATTAGTTGGAAATTCGTTTCCAGCTAAGCTGGTTGAACTCTTTGCCTCCGAGCAGTGAGGAACCCAGACGAAACCATGCCGAAGGGCAGAGTTTCGTCTGGGGTGTCAGACAGCTTTTTCCGGGGTCTACGGGGAATTTTTCCCGAGCCTACGGGCTCGGACACCCCACGTTAAATTCGGTCTCGTGCCACATTTGACCGCGTCGGACGATTGGCAAATATCCTTGGTCTGGGACTTGCGAACTTGCTTCGACAATTAGTTGGAGATTCGTCTCCAGCTAAGCTGGTTGAACTCTCTGCCTTCGGGCGGAGAGGAACCCAGACGGGGCTATGCCGAAGGGTAGAGACTCATCTACGCTACACGACCACGTTTTTACGGGGGTCTACGGGGATTTTTTTTCCCGATCCTACGGGCTCGCTTACCCCATGTTAAATCCGGCTTTCTGCTACGTCTGACCGCGTGGGACGATTGGCAAATATCCTTGCTTCGGGAATTGCTACCCTGTTTTTCAGTAGTGCATTCTCTTTTACAATAAGCCACTCTTTCTTTCATCTACGAGCGTGTTGTTGTTCCTTTCACTCGAGTACCACTTTGTCTGTTTGTAATTTCTTTAAGGATACAACAGTTGCGCGCACATCGAAATAAATTATCTGTTACGTTCTATTACGCTCATTAGAAACATTAAAATAACAGAAAAATATACAGAAAATATATTACTTATTTTATAAGCAATTATCAAACCATGTAATAATTAGCAATGTATATTTATTTATATATTTCCTATCCGCCTCTCTAAATTGGAAAGGGGGGTAAATCAACTCAAGTTGGTAAATCTATGACTGATTTCTTCAATTAGTCGCTTTAATAATCTATACAAATAAAATATTTCTCTGCATTTAGGCAAAATTAGTTCCAGAACAAAATGAACCGTTTTATTAATTAGTTTTTTTTATGCCTACGTTTTTTTTTTGTTTTTTTTTCTAGTTTGCAGCATTTTTGTTCCATGATTTTTATCTTAGATAATCAGATAGCTTTGTCTATGAAGTAATTATTTTTACTTCAAATTGGTCTTTGAAATAGGCTTTGTCATTCTCGTTCCCTTGCTAATTTTTTTTTTCTTTGGAGAGATATTTCCATTTCACTTTTATATTAAACAACCTATTTTTTTTTAAATGAAAAGATATTGAACAAAATTCGATTTATATAATACCAGGAATAATCAAAGAGTCATGGATACCATTTAATGTTTAAATAAATATAAAAGGAACGGATTAATTAAACGATTCATTAGCTTCCATTTTAGTTGTGAATACTTAATCTCTGCTTTATTGATTCTTGAACATTGTTTCAAGATTTTTGTTTCATTATATCTCACTATTAAAACTTTCTAAAAATTGGCATAATTTTGGATACACTAGTTATTAATAACGATGTTGAAAAGATAAATGGGTCTCTCATCTTTATTCGTGCCTAATTGGAAACGTCGACGAGAAATGATACCGTCACACGCTGGAGAAAGTGTTCTGGAAAAACCAAGTCAAGATCTTGTGGAATTTGAGAATTCAAACAGGCCACAGAGTTCACCAAACAAGACATCGCCACTGTTGACAAAGATATACCTTTTTGTCGACGTGGATGTCCTGGTGACCATAATATCAAGGACAAAGAAATTGACATGCTTAAGAAATACACCGACTTCCGGATTAATGTTGCTTATGTTGTTTAGAATGTGGGACGTTCAGGTCATATTGTCGCAATTCTCATTGGGGAGATGGGGATTTTTGCCAGCGAACTTAAAATCCTACATTGAGAAATTCGGTATAAAATCTTTTATACCATAGCTTCAGAAATCTGCGTTGATTGGCGCTGCAAATATTCTTCGAAAAATGTTTTATCTCTCTCTCTCTCTCTCCACCCTCTCTCTCCCTCTATCTCCATCTCTCTTTCTCTCTCCATCCTCTCTCTCCATCTCTCTCTTTCTCTCTCTCTCTGTCGTTGTAAGATATGATAAAGAACAGCCATAATGTAAACTTCCTGTTGAAAATGAAAACAAAGTGAATAATAATAATAATAATAATCAGAAGTCGTAGCAGTAGTAGTAATAGAAGAAGACACCGTTTTGATGAAGAAGAAGAAGAAGAAGAAAAAAGAAGAAGTTTTGAAGAGGATTTGAATAAGCAGCAGCAGCAACAGAAGAAGAAGAAGAAAGTGGAGGAGAATGATAGAAGAAGAAGAAGAAGAAGAAGAAGAAGAAGAAGAAGAAGAAGAAGAAGAAGAAGAAGAAGTAGAAGAAGAAGAAGAAGAAAGTGCAGGGGAATGATAGAAGAAGAAGAAGAAGAATAAGAAGAAGAAGAAGAAGAAGAAGAAGAAAGTGCAGGGGAATGATAGAAGAAGAAGAAGAAGAAGAAGAGGAAGAAAGTGCAGGGGAATGATAGAAGAAGAAGAAGAAGAAGAAGAAGAAGAAGAAGAAGAAGAAGAAGAAGAAGAAGAAGAAGAAGAAGAAGAAGAAAGTGGAGGAGAATGATAGAAAAAGAAGAAGAAGAAGAAGAAGAAGAAGAAGAAGAAGAAGAAGAGGAAGAAAGTGCAGGGGAATGATAGAAGAAGAAAAAGGAAGTGTAGAAGGATGATAGAAAAAGAAGGAGGAAGAGGAGGAAGTGAAAGGGGATGATAGAAAAGAGAGGAGGAGAAGGATAGAAAAAGAAGATTAAGAAGGAGGAGGAGGAGAAAGTGGAAGTGGATGATAGAAAAAGAAGAAGAAGAAAGAGTTTTGAAAAGAATTTGAAAAAGAAGGAGGAGGAGAAACATTTTTGAAGAGGATTTCAAGAAGGAGGAGAATCAAGAGAAGAAGAAAAAGAAGAAGAAGAAGAAGAAAAAGAAAAAGAAGAAAATTTTTGAAGAGAATTTGAAAAGGAGGAGGAGAGGAAACAGTTTTGAAGAAGATTTGAAGAAGAACAATCAAATAGAATAATAATAATAATAATAATAATAATAATAATAATAATAATAATAATCAGAAGTACAAGTAGTAATAATAGAAAAAGAAGATTTATTGTAAAACGGTAATTGAAAAGAAGTCCTATCTCTTGAGTTTTCTGGTTGAGCCACTCAACTATCTCCAATATTTCATTTATTTTTCGAATTTTTTTCTTTTCCTTTTCAAAAACTAAAGCCTCGGAGTAAAATAACGAAAGCTGCCACCCTTGGTTCTCCACCCCCGTTACTTCTAAAGAAATTCTTCTCCTCCCCTCTCTAACCACTCTTCCCCCCCCCCCCAGTTTTCGATATCTATCTTGTCAGAAGACACGTCTTTCATGTCCCGCCCTGGTAAACAACAGACCCACGTGCTTTTCCAATATGACATTACACGTCATCTATGACGTACGAAGTGGCGGGGGAGAAAATAAAACAAAATAAAACGACTAAAAACAAAAAAAACAACAAAAAAAAAAAACGATTGAATTTTTCAAACACTGAACTTCCAGAAAGGAAGGAAGAAAGAATGAATGAAAGAAAGAAAAAGAAATGATGAATTTATTAAAAAAAAAAAAAAAAAGAAATAAAAAAAGAAAGAACGCTGAAAGCAACCATAACTTTTTGGTTTGACTAAAACTCTACGAAACAACAAAAAGAGGAACTAAAATAAATTTATCAACAAATATTGGGTGTGGTGGCTGGCAGTTCCTTGGGTGGGGAGGAGAAGAAATATATGTTAAAGATTGTTAGGTACAAAAAGCAACAAGGATACGCTAAAAAAATAAATGAATTAAAAAAAAAAACAATGGAGATTCAAAACTGAACTGCCAACAAGAAAGAAATGAAGGGGAAAAGAAAGAAAGAAAGAAAGAAAGAAAGAAAGAAAGAAAGAAAGATGGAAGGAAGGAAGGAGGGAAGGAAGAAAAGAAAGAATGAAAAACCAAAACAAAGTAAAATAAACATAAATAAATAAAGAAACCACTGAAGACAAAGTTCACTAAATCTAAGGCTCAAGAGTCAGTCAATATAGTGATCTACTTATATCAATTTATAAAGAATGACATTTTTTAAGATAATCTTCACCCTGTAAAAGGCCCAAGAGCGACTCACGGTAGACCATTTCAGATTAATAAGCACCTATACGGTAGAGGGTTACACAGTAAGAGGCACAGATTATGAAAATATGTGAGTAAGATAACGGTTGACCCTAGACTTGAAAAGATTAGGATTGTAGTGATTGGGAAAGGAGCCTCTTGGCAGATAGTTCCACAAAGCATAGATTCGTGGGAAGAAAATGACCGTGTAGAACTTACATCTCACCATTGGAATAGAATGGGACTGAAGTTGGTTCGCTACAAATGTGCATGCCAGGATGGGTCTTAGCTGTGACGGTTAGAAATAGTTAAACTAATGAATGCAGTTTGTCTTAACACGTTCCATGGAAGTATAGATAGAACAGCGTGTGGCTTGCAACTGTGAGAGTGTCGTTGCAGGGTGGAAAATAATTCGTCACCCACAAGAGTGTTTTGGGGCTCTATCGAGTTTGGAAAATGAAGACTGGGAAGCTCTTGCCCATATATGGCAGTAGTATACCATTTTCGGCCTTATCTGGCTCTTGTAAACGTAGATGATAGCATTAAGTGACTGGTACTTACTGGAGCGGTACAGAAAATCAACTCGTTTTTCTGACATCTTTCGAGGTCTGGGTTGAGTGTTTCACCCTGTAGTGGCATAGGGCCTCCTTAAGAGGTCACCCGTTTTACGCGATAATTTAGGGTCCGCTTAGTGATGATGGTAAGTGTGTCATAAGAATAAAATATTATGAAAATAATGACATCACTTAAAGCAACTATATTCTCCTATTTTATAACAAAGGTCACATAATAAAAGGCACACGAGCCACTCAGTGTAGAGGGTTACTATCAAAAAGGATATGATGAATGAGGTGTATGATATGAAGGAAATTATAGGTGTTCGGAAGTGGAGATGAAAACACGAAGAGGGATAAATAATGATTGACCCGTGACTTAAAGTGGTTAAGATGGTCTCGTTCAAAGAAGCATTGAAACTTTCTCCCTGTCCGACTAAAACACAACCAAAACAGAACCAACATCAGCTGAAATAAAATAAAACCATCACCAGATATCGGGTGTGGTAGGGACGAGATTTTAGGGGTGGGAACGGAAATAATAGTTTAGTGATACCAGTCTGACTAATTAACCCATAGCTAGAGGGGAAATAACTGGATTCATAACTTTTCCAAAGATATTTTCACGAAAGTGAATATAACAAAACCGCACCGCCCGCACATCGAGGCTTATTGCATCTGATATTACCAAGCGGTCACCCATCTAGGTAGTGATCAGGCTCAATGTTACTTAACTTTAGGGAATCTACGAGAACCCGTGTTTCAAAGTGATATGGCCGTAAACCATACCACACTCACATTCACGCATAGAGCACCTGGTATTCCCATGCAGTCACAGATCAATTTACTAACCAGGCTTGGCGTTGCTTAACTGCGGTGATCGTGTGGGTGCTGGTGTTTCAATGTGATTTGGCCGTACGCCATCAGAAAGGAAATAATTTAGAAACAAATAAATACTGTAATTCCCGATGTATAATACGCGTTCATCGATAATACGTACACCTAAAATTGTGCTGAAAGTGTGGGAAAATGTTTCTACTCACGCAAAATACGCACCCCTTATTTGGTAATTTTTGTAACCTAGAAAGGGTTACTGAATGAGGAATAATCAAAACGGAGGTTGGAAATGAAATGGTAATCTTTATAACATCAACAAACATACAATACTCGCCAGCGACGTGAAGTAGGTAAACCACTGCTAGTGTTGGACTACTTAGACAAAATATTACTCCCAATTACAACAGTGTCGAACGTTGGGACACACTCATTAATATTCATATGTACGGTATATAACAGTAATGAAACCCTATAAATTGTACCTCTCCAATTTCATTACGGCCAGCGTTTCCTACTCTTATTTAAAAATGGTTTTAAACATAGAATAATATTATTCTAATTTAGTTTTATGATAATTCTTATTTTATTTTACGGCACTTTTTTTAAAGATTTTTTTGTAGCTGTGCATAATACGCACCCCTGATTTTGCTTATTAATTTTTAGAAAGAAAATTAGTATTATACATTAGGAATTACGGTAATATATGACGAATTTATGAAACGAATGAGATCACTGAAAGCAACCATATTTTCTTGCATTTAATAAAGAAGTTCTCCAGTAAAAGCTTTGAAAGCCATTCAATATTGAGGATTATTTTAAAGAAGGTTATGATGGATGACGTTTGTGATATAACGGAAATAGGTGGTAGGAAGTGAAGCTTATGAGGATAAGGAGGATAAACAATGATTGGCTCTTCACTTGCAGAGGTTAAGATTGTAACGTTCAGGAGTTTGTTCCACAAAGGTAAAAGAAAGAAAAATAAGTAAATAAATAAACTGTCTGCGTGAAACTATCTTCCGGTCTGACTAAAACACAACAAAACCATAAAGAACAAAAATGGAATTAAAATAAGATTATCAACAAATATTTGGTGTGGTGGGACGAACTTTTAGGGGTCGGGGTTGTAAATATACGTTAAAGACTATAAGTCATGAAAAAAAAAAACAATGATTATCTAAACGAAAGAAAATTAAAAAAAAAAAATACAAGAATATTAAAGAATCATGACGTAAAGTTAAGAAGAACAAATAAAAGAAAGAAAGAAAAAAAAGCCGAAAGTTGAAAACAGAAAAAATAAGAAAGGAAATATTCTTAAAGATCTGATCCTATGCAAAATTAGTTGAGCCGTGAATAATCCCTTAGATTAATTCCATGGCATTAAGACGAACAGAGAGTTCGTGTAAAATGCGGAAGAGATGAAACCTAGCAGAATACTAGAAAACATTGCAATAAATGTGTTTCCCGCTATTGCTATTGTTTATTAGAGCCCGGATGATGGTGGCTGCGGGGATATTAAGATGGCGGCGGGCAAGAGGTTTAATATGCGCCGAGACGCGTAGACAAAGACGCACAAAAGAAACAAGCATTCTGAAACATTAAAAAAAAAAGAAGCAAAAAGCAAAAAATTATTCTTTCATTTATAAATGGGCTTAACATAATCTTGTTTTAAATGCCATAACCTTTCAGGACGTAGGCGATCATGGTCCTCCACAGATTCCCTGTCTTTAATATCGATGAAATGCCATGATTTTTCTTGGGAAAGATTTTGGAGTGGTTTCCCGTTGCCTTCTACAATTTTTGGCATTCAGAGCAGTCTTTCTTCCACGAGGATGTAGGCGATAACGGCTCTCCACATTTTACGTTTCACAGATTATCTATGAATAGTCATGATTTTTCTTGGGAAGAATATTAGATTGGTTTTCCGTTGCCTTCTTCACTGTTTTGAATTCAGTGCAATCATTTTCCCTCCAGGATGTAGACGATAATGGCCCTCCACAGTTTCCGTTTCACAGATTATCTGTGAATAGCCATGATTTTTCTTGGGAAGGATGCTATACAATTTTCCTGTTGTCTCTTTTCCCAGTTTTGAGTACGAAGTAGATCATCTCCTAGTCTGGCTGACACCCAAGAATAGAGAGTATAGTCTACTTTGTTATTTAACTCATAGCGGGGGTAAAAAAGAAATGGGATTTATGTATTTCCCAAGGACCGTGTGCGGAATTTAAAGTTAGTTCAGCTATAATAATTTGTGTTACTAACAACAACGCTACCTGCACATCTTTCCTAATAGGATAAATTTTGTTACCTGTAATTGAACATTTAAAAAAATGCTCAACCAATATAAGACCCAAGAGCCACTCAAGGTAAGATGCTGTATGAGAGTAAGACAAGTCAAGAAATGAAGTTATAAAGTGTAGGAAAGATAACGGTTAATCTCAGATTTGAAGAAGTTAAGATTAAGTGATTGGGAAAACATCCTCTCGGGACTCTGTTCCAGAAAGCTTCCGTTCTTGGGAAGATAATGTTCAGATGGAACTTCCTCCTTACTTATGGAATATGATTCATCCCTGTGTAAGTAGCGCGACGGGTCTCAGTTGCAAAGGTCAGGACTAGTGGAATCGAAGAATTTAATTAGAACATAGGATTTTCAATATCGTCCAAAGCAGACTACAATCAAATCGGAAAAACAATATTTCTATCCGTCATTTTAATTCAGTCTAAGCTCTTTCATTTCATATTATCTGCCATCATCACCAGATATAAACAATTCCTAAAATTTAACCTAAAATTAGACCCCAACACACAATCATAGCCCGTCCTGGGTATAACGATAAACTACCCCCGCGTCCTGGCTAAGTCGATAAACTCCGTCCAACAGGAGGTTTTGATGAGCGTGAAACCACCTCTTAATTGCTGATGTTCCCAGGTCCACCCTGACACGAGGTGGTAGCACCTATTAGGGTCTCAGCTCAGGGCAAATAGTTACCCTCCCACCAAAGTGGGGTAAAAACATTATGAAAACGTAAAAATAGGTTTTATTACTAGCGATACATTTTTATAAAAATTATTACAAACAATACATTTTTTTTTAGATATTACCAGAAATAAAAATCTTGTCGGCATTAAATGATCTATTGAGGTTGATATGCCCTAAAACAATACAAACTAAACCACAATCATAGCGAGGCTTTTCTATGTGGCGTGAAAAATTAAGACTATATATATATATATATATATATATATATATATATATATATATATATATATATATATATATATATATATATATATGGGGAAAGGGATTTTTAACGGCTGCTCCTGCTGCTTTAGACTACATCAAGATTCGTAAGAATTGAGCACTATGGCCGATATAGCGTTTATATAGATCACTTATATAATGCATTAATTTTTCTTTCTCTGTCGTGCGTTGATAGTCTAGGAGTAAGGGCCTCTGACTTTTGTCAATCTGGTTGAGTTTCGATCCCGGCTTGAAGCAATCGGATGTCTAGCTACACAGATTATCTGCGATAAAGCGATTTTGTCTGTGGACGATATATATATATATATATATATATATATATATATATATATATATATATATATATATATATATATATATATATATATATATATTAGGCAACATATAATTTACATACAAAGAAATAATCACACATAGAATCAATCAGAAGTATTAATGCGATTATTAATAGCAGATATTCAAAAAACATCTTTCGGTCGACATACAAGTATTTCGTCTTCAAGTTTTTGATTTTATAAGGAAAAAACACATGCCTGATGATGAATAGAGGACTATTCGTAAGTACTAGCATTTTAACATCAAATAAACTGAAAACTACAGACATCAAGTTTATCGACGAGGATCACTTCGCACTATGGATTAACAGTATTTTAATGCATATATTATGTTTCTAGCGATGGATGTCGCCAATAATTGCATTAATACTTCTGATTGATTCTATGTGTGATTATTTCTTTAATATATATATATATATATATATATATATATATATATATATATATATATATATAATCACATACACATACATACATATACATACATACATATATATACATATATATATATATATATATATATATATATATATATATATATAAAATCCACACAGAGACTATATATATATATATATATATATATATATATATATATATATATTGATTCTGTGTGATTATTTTTTTATATATATATATATATATATATATATATATATATAATCCACACACACACACACACATACACATACATACATATATATATATATATATAAAATCCACACAGAGACTATATATATATATATATATATATATATATATATCATCCAAACAGAGACTATATAGATGCGTGTATAAATCAGAAAGTAAAAGCAATTTTGAAATTACGGGGTAAAAAGCAACAGTGAGGCCCTGTCGCCCCACACCACACATTTGTATGTAAATACGGGTAGCAGAATTCCATCATTCTGTCAAATTACAAGGAGCAACGAGGTCAGGCGTATGGACGCTCTACTCAGCAATTGCATTATCGAGGAACAGCGCTTGTTAGCTTTCTTCTTTTCGCTATTGATGAAGAAACTCATTACACAATAATAGAGTAGCGTCTGCAAGAGAACAAAACTGAATTTGTTCTTTATGATTGGATATAAAAATGCTGCCTTAACTTTTTTTTATTCACCCTCGTCTTACACTGTCTCTCTTCCTCTGTGTGTATATCTATCTATCTATCTATCTATCTATCTATCTATCACACTGTCCATTATCTATCTATCTATCACACTGTCCATTATCTATCTATCTATCTATCTATCTATCTATCTATCTATCAATCACACTGTCAATTATCTATCTATCTATCTATCTATCTATCACACTGTCCATTATCTATCTATCTATCTATCTATCTATCTATCTATCATACTGTCCATTATCTATCTATCTATCACACTGTCCATTATCTATCTATCTATCTATCTATCTATCTATCTATCACACTGTCCATTATATCTATCCATCTATCTATCTATTCATCTATCTATCTATCTATC